TAGCATATAGTTTTGTTGGGCAATCCACCCCATGAGTAGTTCATGTATTTGTTTATCCATTTCAGGTTCATATTTTTGAATCATATTATCGAGCATTCATCTCGTCACAAATATAACATTATTGAGCATCCACCTTGTTACAGATGGAACATTATTGAGCATCCACATCATTACAGTTGGAATATTATTGATCCCTCCACTTCGTTACAGATGAAATATTATCGAGCATCCACCTCGTTACAGTTGAAATGTTATCACGCATTCACCTCGCTACTGATGGAACATTATCGAGCATCCACTTCGTTACAGTTGGAACATTATCGAGCATCCACCTCGTTACATATGGAATATTATCGAGCATCCACCTCGTTACAATTTGAATATTATCGAGTATCCACCTTGTTATAGTTGGAAGATTATTGAGCATCCATTTCGTTACAGATGGAACATTATCGAACATGTACCTCGTTACAGTTGGAACATTATCGAGCATCCACCTCATTGCAGATGGAATATTATCGAGCATCCACCTCGTTACAGTTGAAATATTATCGAGCATCCACCTTGTTATGGACGGAATGTTGTCGAGAATCCACCTCGTTACAGATGGAACATTATAAATCATCCACCTTGTTACAGTTCGAATATCGTCGAGTCATCCACCTCGTTACAGTTGAAATATATATGAGTCATCCACCTCATTACAGTTGAAATATTATCGAGTCATCCACCTCGTTATAGTTGGAATATTATCAAGACATCCACCTCGTTACAGATGAAATATTATCGAGCATCTACCTCGTTACAATTTGAATATTCATCGAGTCATCCACCTCATTACAATTGGATAACCATCGAGCCATCCACCTCTTTACAGTCGGATAATTATTGAGCTATCTAGCTCGTCACAGAAATCACCAGAGTTTGCCATACAAAAATAAACAATGGCATCTCAAAATCCTTAGCCAATCATGAGTTGTAATGGACATACTGTGTTCGAAAGTGGCATATACTGAACATAATTATGTGTCATATTCCACATCAAGTATAACTGAAAAACATTGTAAGAGATACTATCACTTTTCCAGTTACATTTTCTACTAACAAGTTATTTCAGTTTTTGTCGAGAGCATCCAAGAGGATGAATTCTCAAATCAAATTACAAGTGCGGACGACATCAACAAGAATGAAGCACAACGTGGAACTTTTTCTTAGCAGCAAACTGGAAAATAGTTCGAAGAGAGTGTCAAATTCTTAGGACGCGAGCAGAGGAGCGACTTGCACCACAATCAAACCACACCCCTATCAGAAGACATGTGGGTTTTTCTTTGAATTTGTCGGTTTCAATTACATATCTGGAAATTCTAGTCTCTACCAGAAGTAGCTTTACAATCCGAGTGACAGTGCACCAAGATCTTTGGAAATTATGTCCGTGTAAGTTCTTAATTATGGGCGTGAAGTGCACCACATTCATGACTAAGAGGTTACAAGCCTTTTTTCATACTCGATTTATTTTTCACTCTTCCAGAACCAAAGGCTATCTAACAGAATAGATTTTCTTTTCAAAACGATTGAGTCGAACTACAAACAACCTGATTCTTATAGTATAAGGATATGTGGGCGAAATCAATAGAGAAAACTCAACTGTACTCCTATATTCTGTTATAAATCTTAATCCCGAGCATCCCAATTTCTTCATAATTCGACATTGAAATAACTTTTAAAATCTTTTAGAATCGTGCGTTAAATCAATCTTATCGAACTACAAGTGGCCTGAATTCTCATATATCCTGAGATATGTAGGAAACCCACTTTTGGGGTTCAACCATAATTCTTAAAGCCCGTACAAAGTCCTTTTTCCAAAAGGTTAATATGTTGTCGTTTAAAATTGGCTTGGTCAATTTTATTTTGTTCGATTTTCTTGCATCAATCCAAATAAAACGAGAGACAGTTGTTGACAACCAATTTTGGACCTCAATAACATGAATTAATAATCGAGTTTCTTAATTTCCAAACAAAATGAAATAATTGACTTTACGAAATTCAAGATATTTTCCAATTTATTTTAAATATTTTTGTCGCTTTTGTAATTTTTTGATAATATATATGTTTTACATAATTATGCATATAATTAGTATATTTTATGATTATTTGAAAAACGTCTGAAAAAGTTTTTGTCTTGATTAGATATTTGGTAAATTAGTTTAGTTATATGATAGTTTATATTTTTAGTTTGATTAGTTTATAATTAAGTTTATTATTTTATTTCGTTATGATTAAGAGACTCGTTAATTAATTTATGTTAATTCATTTTCTTTAAGTTTTGACTGAAGTTGGTCTTTGTTTTCTTAAAATTTTCCGTCAATCCTTTAAAACCATTTTTCTTTAACATTTCCAGTAAACCCAACACCTGAATTCACATACCCAATCTTGCTCTTTTCCAATTCTAAATGAAACCCATTACCTCGTGTAACCAATCTATTATAATACCAAAAAATGACCAAACCTACAACCTTATCTTTCGCCCTGACCCAGCCCAACTCTAACAAAGCAAAGACAGCCGACCTCTCAATCGCGTACAGAAGCAATTTGGAACACTCCAACACGCGCTTCAAGCAAAAACGAGCACGGAAAAGCAGCAGAAGGTCAAAAGGTGATTTTGGTCGTCCTCTCTGATTTTCCTCGACAACAGTATGCATAGTGGGCTGATTTCAGCAGAGGCGTGTTCTTGAGATACCAGTACTCCTTCGAAATTTTGTTCGGAATTCGGGATTCTCTTTGGGTCCTCTTTTAGTTGTTCGTGTTTCAGTGGTGAAGTTTACCACTCCTTTCAGCTTGCCTAGTCTTGTTAGCTGCACTGGATCCTAATACTCAACTTATGGCTTTTCCACCATCAACTTTAGGCCAACCCCCTATGATAATTACCCAAGACTTTAAGTTTTGAGAATCGAATACAAATTAAAGGAGTAATTTCCTTACCTTAAGCACTAAAAGTCGTGGAAAACTGTCAAGAATCGCCTTGGTTCGTCTCTTAACTCTCATGATCGAAGTTTTGCAGAAAATAATAATCTAAGGGTTTTTCCAGACTAGCACGCCACAGCGGCCCCGCCTTGCGGGATTAATCCCTACTTGACAGCTTACACGGGGACAGAAGCTCGGTTGAGTTCCTAGCTCCCATTTCACAATACACTTTCAACCCTTGACATTCTAAAACTACCCCTTTATACTAAGATCAGTTTCGAGAGTTCTACTAGCTCGAATTTAATTTCAAAAAATCGTACAAGTTAACGTCTTGTCTATCTACTCATATGATCAGAATCATAAAAAAAATACCCCATTCATTATCAGATTTTCCTTGACCTCAACTAACTCATATTTTGTCCAAAGTTGAAGTAGGCTAGAAATTTTTAAGTCACTACTCAAAAGTTTTCTAGCCCAAATTCTTTTCCCATTGGATTTTCTGTAACAACGAAACAGGTCGCTACATTTTTAGATCTCTAAATAAAGTATTTAGGTCATTTCTAAAGTTCTTGCATGCTCATATTATAAAAGACTCGATCCAGTTTAAATAAAAACAAAAAACTGCAAGTTCCCTTCAGCCTCTTCCTTGATTAGTTAAGCCTAGAAAGAAGTAAGAATCACCAATTTCAACTTTCTAAGTATTTCTATTGAAGTCTAACTATTTTGAATTTGGGTCGTGTAGGGTCTTATTTGGGAGAAGCGCTCCCTACTAAGAATTTTTTCATATCCACTACTCTTGAATAAGCTTATGCAAAAACTTTGCTACCTCCAGCTCAATATTATTTTGGGTTGGTCATCTTCTTGCTCAAACTACATAGAAATGCAAAGTAAAATCTAGCAAATCATAACTAATATCAAAGCCCCCAGACTTTGTAGCAACATCCAATCCAACACCATAAAGAAAGAGAACAAACAAAAAGAATGAAATATTCAATTCCAACTTCGACTCAAATGCAACATTTCAAAAGAATAACTCAAAGCATCTACTCACCATTTGTTGGTACTTCATAGTACACAATTACAAAAACAAGCAACTAAAAAAGGAGCTAACGATTTCGAGAGCAAGTCATAAGCTCAGGTATTTAATGCATCCTTTTCATACCCATCCAGGTCAATGACTTGTAAAGAAAAATACTCGAGTATTCGAATCTTACTTCCTCCAGTACCAAAATCGACTGACATGCGAAATCACATGAGAAGAACCTTAGTGGAGTTTACTCCAAGGAAGACTGAATAACTCTTCTTAGTGATTAATATGAATTTCTCTAATTTGGTAAGACCTCCGTGCTTTTAGAGGATTTTAAATTATCTTGAATTTTAGTAGTTGGTATGTATTGTTAACAGAGTATTCGAGTAGTCTAGATCTTATCATGATAACCCACCTTCGGTATCTTAAAGGTTTTCATAGATGAGTTAGTCTAGTTAAAATTTCCACGAAATATATATATATATATATATATATATATATATATATATATATATGAAGAAAGAAGTAAATTTGAGGTTTTTGTCTTTGTTTACGCGGATTTGTTAAAATATTAACAGACTAGTTAAATAAAATCACGTAGCTTTTCTTAATTTAGAAAGACAAGATAAACTTTTTTTTATTACAAAAAATATAGAGTAATTAAAAAAAATGACGTATTTGCAATGTTTCCAACATAGTATGTTATCAACACACAACCAAATGTTGTGGTGCAGTGGATAAGATTGCTTCTCCCTTAGTTAGAGGTCTCGAATTCAGGTTACCGATATGAAAAATTTCTTAGTAGGAAGCACTTCTCCCAAATAAGGCCCTAAAGAATGCAAATTCGAAATAGTCGGACTCCAATAGAAATACTCAAAAGTTGGAATTGGTGTTTTTAATTCTTTCTGGGGCTAAACTAAACAGGGAAGAGGTTACGGGGATGAAAAAGGAAATAATAGAAACACCGAAACTGGAACTCTTCAATCTTCACAATTCCAAAGCCCCCCTTTTTTTCTTTACTATAAAAGCACTTCAGAAAATGTTTAGCTGACATTTTTATTCAATCTATCAATCGAAGAAGAGTCACAAAGCTCAAAACCTAGTCAGGAGAATTTGATTTTTCGAGTGTTGTTGTTCTGTTTGTACCTTTTTCGATATACATGTAGCTTTGCCTAGTTCATCTGGTTGATTCCTCAAGCTGCGATCAGGTAAAAAACCCTAATTCTCTTACTTGTCTCCAAAATTCTCATATGTCACCGCTGTTTTTTGTTTTATAAACCCCTTTTCTGTGAAAAAAATTTGATCTTTGGTTGTTGGAACCGTCAGTGGCTTGTAATTGGAGTAGATTGTAACTGATGATAGATTTGTCATTTATGTTTAGCTTCATTTGGAAGCCTAACTGTGGTTGTTATAAATAGGGTTCTTCTTTCCTTACCCTTTTTGGGTGTAGAGTGATAATTGAGTGACTAGTTTCTTGTTTAAGAATGGAAAGTGTTTGAAGATTATGGGGCTTTACTGTGTAATTGAACATTGGAGGAAGGATTTATGAGGAGTGATGATGATGACTTGTGTAGAAGAGGGTGAAATGGAATTTCTTTTACCTAAAAGTTTAGTTTGATTTAGAAGGGACTGGATTTTTTTTCTGGAAAATTTCTGAATTGAAGGTTGAAAGTTAAAATTGGAGAGGTTAGGGGGAGGGTTTTGGTGGTGGTTTCCTCCCTTGTCTGGGACTCCTTGGTTTGACCGCCACATTGGTGTACTTGTTGCTTTCAGTCTTTCGTTATTGATGAATCCATAGCACACTAAGAAGTGCTGTTCAGTCTTCCTGGGGAGTGGACTCCATGAAGAGGTTCTTCTTGTCTGTCCGAAATGAGATTCGGGTACTCTAGTATATTTATTTCTTGACAAGCCATTGGCCTAGATGGATATGAGATGGATGAACTCAAGTACCTGAGCTTAGACAATGGGCTTGCTCTCGAAAGCCGTTAGCTCCTTTATTAGTTGCTTGTTTTTAGTAATTGTGTACTACGAAGTAGGAACTAATGGTGACAAGATACTTCGAGTTATTCTTTTGAAATTATGCAATTGAGTGGAAGTTGGAATTGAACATTTTGTGCTCTTTGTTTGTTCTCTTTCTTTATGATGATGGATTAAATGTTGCTGCAAAATCTTGGAGGCTTTGATATTAGTTATGCATTTTCTAGATTTTACTTTGCAATTCTGTGCAGTTTGAGAAAGAAGATGACAAATCCAAATAATGTTGAGCTGGAGGCAGCAAAGTTTCTCCATAAGCTTATTCAAGAATCTAAGGACGAGCCGACTAAATTGGCTACAAAGCTTTATGTGGTGAGTATACATCTCTTATGTTGTATGTTTTCCAAAAATTCTAGTTATTCACCTGTATTAAGTTGTACTACTCATGACTCAGATTTTACAACATATGAGATCCAGCGGGAAGGAGAGCTCAATGCCTTATCAAGTAATATCAAGGTATAGCGTCTTAAACTCCATCCATATATTTAGAGCATCATAGAATTTATTTCACATTTCTCACCTTTTATGGTCCCTACCCCTTTGTCAATCATCTTTCTGTTCAATAATTGTGTTTTCGATTATTATATTATTGTACTCTCTAGCTATGATGGGAAAGTATAACTGTCAAAGTATACTGGTAGTTGCCCATGATACTATGCCTCCTGGATTAACAAAAATGCATCCTAGTGCTGTGGTTGGCTGGCTGACGCTAAAGCTACTAAATATTGATTGTGATAGTTCAGAGTTCTCGATACTCATCTCTGACATGCTGTACTGTTACAGTTTTGTTGACTTCCGTAATTTCTCTTTTATTGATTCAAGGGCTATGGAGACTGTCGTCAAGCAACATGGTCTTGACATTGAAGCTTTAATGTCCTCACGTCTTCCTGTGTCTGCTGTAGCACAAGCAGGAGAAGCTGCATCATCACAAGTAGCTGGTAGAATGATACTTGTTGCACTTTAATGCACTTCACTAATATGTATTGGCAAGAAGTCGAAGCCATGTTTTGTTGGCTATTTTTATATTAAACGAATCGAGTGTTATTGCAGGATCTTCACAGAGGCCAGGGGTTACTAGAGACTCCAAAGCAAATTTTCTGGGAAATGAGATGGGTAGCGGTCCAAGCGGCAGCGGACATGGTGTTTATCAAGCATCTGCACCCCACATAAGTGGTAAGTACAACGATTTGTCTGCTAACTTGCAAGTTGCAAGCATGGCAAATCATTCATATTGTCTAGTGTTGGGGAAACTAAAATATTAACCGAACAAATGAAGATTACAATTTGATAAAACTTATGTAGATGACCAATATGCATTTGGAACTGTGCGTTTTCTACGTATAATTTAGGAAGGAGAAGAAAATGAAACAACAGATAACCATGTCTTGTCGCCAAAGATTTGTAGTAGCTTGGTTTCTGAGCAATTTAATGCTATTGGTTGATCATGTTATTAAACCACTTTGATATATGACACAATATCAAGCAACAGTCTTACTCCCAAAGGAAGGCTCGGTGGTCAAAAAGTTGGGGTACGGCTGTGAGAACCACAAAATGAATATTAGAAATGCAACACTAGTTGAATTCTTCCTATATGTCTAAGCTTTGGTGGATGGAGTTACTAGATGCTTATGTTGTAGGAGGTAGCATGTCTTTGGTGGATTAGTTGATGTGTCGTGGTGTACGCAAATGTGAACACATCTTTTACTCAAAAAATCAGGGTCGCTTGCTATTGAAGCCTTGTTTTTGTAGATAAATTGGAAATTGAGAGTCAACAATATTTAAGTTGTTGGACGGGTTCTTATTTTGCTTAAGGAGTGAGTGAGTGAGTGCAGCACCCAAGGGTGTGGTTAACGAAGTGGAGGAGAACCAAGAGGTCTCAGGATCAAATCCTAGCGGAGATGAAAACACTAGGTGATTTCTTTTCATCTATCTGAATCTTGGTGGACAGAGTTACTTGATATTTGATCTTGGCGGGAGGTAGCAGATATCCGTGGAGTTTGTCGGGGTGTGCATAAGCTGGCCTGTACACCATGGTTAACAAAATTGGAGTGAGTAAATGCAAGTTAACCATATTTTTGAGGGTTTGATTTTTTTTATTAGTTTGTTTAATGTTGGGGAGTTCCCGATAATATAAGTGTTCTACCAAAAAGTAGAAACCTAGGTTAAAATGTAGTTTTCCACATAAGACGTTATACCTATCTATTTATTGAAAAGTGCCACTCAATCATTAATCCAGAAAAGAATCTCATAGTACACTAAAATGAAATCAGAGACATGATATTCTCCACATGTACAAAAAATTTTCGATCACTTAAAAATCTCTCCTATTTGTCTTCCTTCATATTACCCACATAAGAGCTAGTGGGGCTATCTGTTGTTCCCTGAGTCCTCTCTCTTCCAGAAACCCAGCTACATAATGTCAATCTTATTGTAGTTGGAATGACCTACTGTATTATTCTAAACCAATTCCGAACTTCCACCAAATGTAGTAGCTACTTGACAATGTAATAAGAGGCAATCTACATCTTCTCTTGAACATGTATACATATAGCACCAACTGACACATATGTGATCTTCCTCTTCCTTCCTTTTATGTCAAGTACACAAAGAAGTACACTCTTTTGGTCATTCTGGTAGCAGAATCGTGAGATGCAGGAACACCATTTCATCCTGCACGATCTCATCGATAGTTTTTGGTAGTATGATTCTACTGAGAATTGTCCATCTCTCCCCATGTCCCTCATCTCATGCATTTGCAATGTGTTCCTGTTTATATGGTAATCCTATAAGGTTCTGCTATTGACCCATTTCCCAAATATTGTGAGTTTCTCTTAAATGTGAGATCCCAATGCAACAAAAAAAAGAAAAGCACCCGTCATGTACTTGCACCACCAATACTATCTTGGTGGCGACTCTTCATACTTGTACAATTAGGCAAGTAATTTTCAACATGTTCTCTTTATGCCACCTATCACACAAAATCTTATTTTGCTTCGGTAATGTGGCTGCTGAAGTCTTTGCATTCCTTCATAAATGCACCTCCAAAGTCTATGCCCAAATGGAAATTTTTGCATCCCTCTGTTCATCTTATGGACAATTTTGTTAGAGAGGAACAAAGCTTGCTTTGAAGGCAAGGGTACTCCCATTAGTTCCATAAATAGTTTGAGTCAGTTTATTGATTTATTGGATATGCTTGGAAGAAGAGGTTACGAGGCTGCCTTTTGTTTTATGGTGTTATTGTTTCTTCTCCTATACCTTCTTGTTACCATTTAATAAAATCTCTTACCTTATCAAAACAAAAGGTTACGCCTGAATGGAAAGTTGATCTTTCTAGCCCTCCATTCCACGTTGGCACTTGACAGCACCATACTTTTCTGCCATCACTTCCCTTAAAAACGTGCTCCTCCATCCCAAATCTTCAAGTCCATTTATCTAGCAGAAGTTTGTTGAACTCCTCGAGGTCTTTCACTCTGAGTCACTCGAGCCCATCCCACTTTTTCGGGGATGTGACAGCCTCTAATGACTAATCAGTTATCTTACTATAAGTATATTGCCTAGTTCAAATTTCTCCGGAGTGTTTCTAGAGTTTTACTTGATTTGACACGAATCCTGAACCTGATCTTGAATTTGGCTTTGGTTAATGATGCTGGGGGGGGGGGGGTTTCTAATTTCATCAATGCTAGCCCAGTTGAGACTTCTTCATGCCCAATCCGGTGGGCCCTTGACTTGCCCCTATCTTAACCTTTATAATTCACCTATCTTCCCCAGTCCTTTTGATATTACATAATAACAAATAAAGTTTAAAGAAAGTTAGCTCTTTATTTGTTTATCTCATCCTTTTTTCTTTTTTTTTTCCGATCTTCATTTTGACGAGTACTCTTTCGCTTTCATGAATGAATGTTATGTCATTAGCACTGGCCATTCTAAGTGTAGGAGCAATGTTGATATCGCCTGTTGAGCTGAGTGCAAAATTTCTCCTATCAGTAGACATGAAAACTACTTGTACATTCAGGGTAGTTTAATCATTTAATGTCATAAAGTGCTATTCTAATTCAGGTACAGGTGTCAAAGTTCCTGTAATGGCGTCTCCTGCTTCAAATTCATCTCAGCCACTAGAGGCAGGAATTTCAAGTCCAATGCAGTTTGGAAGTCCTTCAATTGATAATCATGGTTATGCTGCGAAATTGCACAAAGATGGAAGCACAGAACCTTACTCTGGTCCCACCTCGGCTGATCTTGTTGCTGGCAGAACTGCAGTGGGAAGAGCAATAGAGCATGAAGGAGGATCTAATATGTTAGGAAATGCTGGCAAGATCAGTCAGGTACTTATTTTCCTTCTTTTCACATAATGGCTGTTGGTTGTTGAATAGTTTTGTAAATGTGTCATCTGATAATTACTATGTTTATGACATACTGTCTTGATTTGACATAAACAAGTCCACATTTATTGTATTGATTAAAAAGGTAAGTGGTTACTTTTGATGAAGGATTCACATTAGTTCTTAGAAATGGCATGCTGTGTTATTAGAAGAATTGACTACTGTAATGCTGGACGTTTTATGTGATTTGATTCCTAGTAGTGGGAACTATGTTCATATGTTATCTAGTGGGGAACGTGCAAACACAACCAACCATCTCTTTTTACTTTGCAATTGGACTAATCAGCTTCAGAAAATCTTCATTAATTTGAGGAGGGGATCAGATGAGTGATGCCAGGAAATATGAAGGAGATGCTAGATAGTTGGACCAGAGGTGGAATTTAATCCCACCAGAAGGAGAGGTGGAGGATAGTCCGAGCATGTATATGGTGGTCTGTGTGGAGAGAGATTCAGAAATGTTATGAGGATAAGCAATGCAATATCAAGAAGTTGAAAATTGTTTACCCCTTCATTAATTTTGTTACTTTTGGTGTAAACAGGATTCTCCAGTAGAAATTGAAGATATTTTTGAAGTTTTAGACTACATTTAAGAAGGAACATAGACAGGAAGCTTTCCTTTATTTTGTAATGTCTATTTTGGGGGACTATACAGTTGGTAAAGTATAGCTGTTAATATATAGAATGTTAGCATTATTAAAAAAAAGAAAAGATCCATTGGAGGAATATGGAGACTAGTTGAAGTACTGAGTGTCCCGATATCGAGCACTATCATAGAAAACAGTGAGCACTCCTGCCAAAGGCTAGTCACATATAAATGTTTGGTTATACCTTGTCTTAACTGGGGATACTGTTATGGTTTACCCAATTGCTTCTTTAACTAGGTAACAAATGATGATCTGGAACCAGCTAATACAGAAGTCTAGGCAAAATTAGAGGGCCAGGATAACATGATTTTTTCCGTGTATCTGTTTTATAATTTGTTTAGTTGCATTTTCATCATCAATATAAGTTCCTAAGATTAGGAGAAGATCTCCAGATCGAGGTTACAACATTTTATTAACTAGTGTAAAACTATCTTTATTATTATTGCAGGCATCCCGTGAGCACCAATAGAAGGATATCCAAAAAACTGAACTTCATTATTTTCGTCTCTTGTAGTTGTTGTTATGAATCCTTTCCTTAGCTTTTCAAGTTAGATGAGTTTTGATCTTCTTTCCAACTATTGCTTGAGCTGGACTGCATAGAACAGAGGACCTTCTACTATGTTTAGGCTTCTCAATTTCGAGAAGCACATAGATTGTGATAGTATTTAGTTGGTTTTCTTTTTCAGCAGTATCTGTTTTCTCTGTGCTTCATCTTTGCCTTAATTTGTTTGTGTTAACAGGGGGGCATGCCCAACAATGTCCCAGAGAAGAGTATACTTAGAAGTGAAACAATCAGAGATGCAGGGATGTTGTCTGTTGCTGCTCAGGCTCCTGTATCTACCATGCCTTTCAAAGAACATCATTTGAAACAGCTTAGAGCACAATGTCTTGTGTTTTTGGCTTTTAGGTATGTAGGATAATGAAGTTAGATTCTAGTGTTTTGTCATTATGCAAAGAAGTTTTTGCTTTCGGCTGCCACAGTTTTCAATATCTCTTCACTTATAGGAATGGTTTAATGCCAAAGAAGCTTCATCTTGAGATTGCACTCGGAAACTTCTATCCGAAAGAAGGTATCTGCTGCTTAATAGCTCTATTTTTTTCTTGCTCTGATTCAAATGTTATATAATCTGTTTCATGTGCTAATATATGGTGTTCTATAGATCGCAGAGAATTGGTTGACCATAAAGGAAGGGAGCAACTGGTTACTGACCAAGGCAGTGCATCTGAAGTCACACGGACATTTGGAGGAGCTGGCGAAACTGACAGGATTTCTTCTGGTCCTACACCTTCTGGAATTCTTACCGATACAAATTCATCAATGGAGGCTGAGAATGCAAACTTGATGGAAGATAAAAATGGTCAGCTTGATCCTTCTGAGCATGCTGACGAAAGGAGACCCCAAAGAAAAATGAGAATGATTCAGGATGCTGAAATGCCCATCCAGGATGCTATAGAATCACAGGCATCTGCTCTTAGAGGAGTTCCGACTGATCCGAAATCCTTTCCTCCCTATAATCATGAGAATGCTCCTGCAAATACTGAACAGCTTGGAATGTTTCCTCAAGCTTCCTCTGTTATGGGCACAAGCAAGCAAATGAAGCCTGATCTGAGTAGTAGGAGTGGAACTGAGGCTTCAAAGGTATCACCAACTGCCTCTGCCAATACCCATGGATCGGGTCTGCTAATGAGAGATAATCATACTGGTCAGTCTCAAAATCTTGTTGATAGCAATGCTCAAGGAAATCGACATGCTGATAGTAACTTACCTAGTTTACCCTTGAGGCAACAGTGGAAATCTGTTCCTGGAGTAATTAATCAGAGTCCTACAATGATGCAAGTGAAGGATTCAAATATAACGCTGAAAAATCTGTCACAAGGTCTGAATAATATAAGAATTTCACCTCTTATCTATTTCCTTACAAAAGATCACCTTCCCCCCTTGGTTTTAGCTTTGGGGATCTAAGTAAGACGAACTTCTGTTATAACTTCCATGCACAGATGCAGATACCACCTTTGTTTTACTTGCTTTTCTTTTTCTTTGCCATTATGGTGTGGTCAAGTCCCGTCCATGGGATTGATGTTCCTGTGTGCTGAGTGTACATACATATTTCTCTTTGTATGATTAGTTATTGTTCTAACATCTGCACATTGAGTTCTAACATCTGTGCACCAAGTTCATTTACAGTGCAAGAAACAGATCAAGAGGATGATAATATTTCAGCATCCACGGATAGGTTATCATCTCCAAGGCATACAATGCTGGAGAAATGGATTCTGGATCAACGGAAAAGGAAGCTTATTAGTGAACAGAAATGGTCGAAAAAACAGCAAAAAACAGAAGAAAGAATTGCTGCTTCTGCTGAGAAGTTGAAGGTCTGTTATTGAAAATCCTTCTTCCTTATGAGATGCAATGCTCTTATCAGGATTTCATGTAGACTGAATTATGGGGTGAGCTTTGTTGATACTGATTAGATTGGGTACTGTCTTAAGGCTTACTTCTGGTGGAATATATACAAAGCTACTCTTCATCAAAAAATTGGATATATACAAAGTTACTCTTCATCAAAAAATTCCGAAGATTCTCAATTGTTTCTTAATTCCATTTTGAAACGGTCAAAGCAACTGCCGACTGTGTAGGCTGTGCAGATGAAGAAAAACTGTTTAGTTGGTCATTTTTCTACCTTAGCTGCAAAATGTTAAATTAAACTGCATAATGAGCGCAAAATGATGTCATTGATGCCAAGATAATAAGCAATTGAAGCTGGCATCAATGACTTTAATGTTGAATAGGTCTTTTCTTTATGGATCTTGAGTGAGTCTATGAGTTACATTATCCCTTAAGAAATGGATTTCATTAAACCTTTGCACAAGCTATTTTTGATGCTTTAGACCCGAAGATTTTTGAAAAGTAGACTTGCTTGTATTTTTGGATATTTCTACATTCCATGAGAATTGGGTACTTATACATGGAGTCCTATGACTAATTAAGGAAAGAGAATCAATACAATAAAATACAATGGAATAACATATTCTATTCTCCCATTATTGAGCTTTTCAATCAACAATGTCCTCCAATCAACACAAACCATTGGATGATATGCTCTTCCAGCATGCGATACACATGTGAGAACTATTATAAGCATCTTTAATGTCTGTAGATTGCTGCGACCTGATTATCTGATAAATGACTCTTACATCCCGGTTAAGATCGCTCGCATGTGATAAATACTCGTCTTCCTTTATGTGGCAGGAATCGGTGAGCTCCTCTGAGGATATCTCTGCAAAAACGAAAAGTGTCATTGAGCTGAAAAAGCTTCAATTGCTGGAACTGCAGCGTCGCTTACGGAGGTAATCAGTCTTGGCTTACTTGCTTACTTTTTATGTATATCTAGATTTAGGGGTTCTAATCATCCCCAACCCGCTCACTCCGTATACCGGTTGGGTCATTACCCACTTGTGATGTTTACTCAACGGGTTGAGTTAGAAATGACCCATCAAACAATTGAGTCGAAATGGGTCAAATTACTGCAACCCGATGGGTCAAAATGTAACCCAACCCAAACAAGCAAATCATATTAGTAAAAGGAACTATTTCTTGAAACTCGGTTCTTTTTTCATGGGAAACAAGTCTAATTGATCAAAGGTAATTAAGCTAGCTAATCTAAGAAGTTTGATCTATTAATCATTTTAATTAAGGATGAAATGAAATCTTATAAAGTACTACTACTGGGTAGATGCATGGTTGGGCCACAATACTCTTAAAGAGTAGTTCTCATATATTTTTTTAAGAATACCAACTCCCAACACAATGTAGTAATTGCAAAATTTTATTCAACAATAAGCGTGTACTCTCTTTCTTAGAATAAGGAATGTAAATGATTGGGAACTTGAACTAGTATGTCTCTTGCTTCAGCTGCTAAGCAACAGAGTGTTGGGCTGCAACAAAGCTGATTCTATTAGATGGAAGGACCATCCCAAAGGTCTCTTTATGGTCAGAAGCTATTCACAAAGCTGGATTTAAGTGACAACAGGGGTTTTTGGCCTTGGAATTTTTTTTTGGCTCAGCTAGGCACCTTTGAAGGTCTCTTGCTTCTCTTAGATTGTGGCTATAGAGGGTTGCCTCAATCATTCCAACCTTCGAAAGAGGAAAATTCATCTTTGTAGTAGGTTCCCATGTATGAAGAGCACTCTGAAGATGGTGGCTACTTCTTTTGCATTGTAGAGTTACTACTCAGTTGTGGGTTCTGTTTTTGTCGGTCTTACGCATGTCTACTACCATCAACTTCAATATACCCACCCTCATCCATCTACCGGACCAAAGTTGTTTGGCAACACCCTCCACATCCTTACTCACTTTTGTCTCTTGCAAGCAATAGACATCATCCCTCCATCTCAATCAAGAGCTCTTAACAAGATTCGACATTACTAGACAGTATTTTTACTTTCATTTGAGTGTCAGAGTAAGAGTTCTCTCGCTGTTCCTTACTCCTTCCACTTCCTCATTCAGTCTGGACTGTAAGTTCTTCAATTCATTTTTTTGCCAATACCTCTGTGTCTAGGTGTTGACACTGTGCTATGAGCTGTCTGCCCCCTTTCTCTCCATCACAGCTTTCCTTTCACCAAGTCTCATCAATTATGCATGTGTTCCCCTGAAACCTTCATAAGCTACTCTGTATTTCATGGTCAACTTCAAAATATGAGAATTGACCCAGCTGGATGCTTCAATCTTGCTATCAGTTGGTTCCCTTGATTTTGAGTGGCTAATGTCAACATCGTGATTGTATCTCCCCTATTTCCTTTGTTTGGCCACCCTTACTGTTTTCTGTGATAATTGGTTATGAATCCCCTTGTTTGTTGGATACTTTGCCTTGAGAGTTGCCAACTCCTTTATACCATTTGGCCCTTCTAAAAGCTTCTCCCCCCCCCCCCCCACACACACACGTGCCATATTTTTCTTTTTCTTGATATGATCAGCAGTGCTAATTTGTTGCCCATATTGGGAGTTGGGTTTTGTTCAATATTGAGAGAGCTATGGCCACCTTTTCATTTAAAGATCTGCTGGCCTCCCCACGTGCCCTCTGCATCAACACATGTTATGACAGCTGCCGCTGGTCTGCTTAAAAGAGGCTCCTTCTCTTCATCCAGCAGTTTTATCTCGCGACTGCTGGATAAAATCTTCTCCTGCAAACACCTTGACCAGCCCTTTTCTACTTCTTGCCTATTTGAGATGATTTCTCACTTTTGTCTCTTTTGTGTCTACCCAGCCACCACAATGGTGTCCAATGGCCTTGAAGACTTTCTGGGCCCAAAATTGTAGTGGTAGACCAACAATTCTAACCCAAGTAGAGCTAGGTTTACTCCTCCCACTAGCTGTACCTCCCGTCAGATTCCACTATTAAAGGGTAACTGGAGAGTTCTTCCAGTCCCAATCTCCTTCGGCTACTTGCTTCGCCGTGGACCTGGGAGCAAACTCAAACAGAAAGTAGGCCATCTCATAGATGTTTAATCCATGTGCTTGCTTCCACAATCTATTAGTCCATCCCCTGATTTCTGATAAAGTTGGTGTCACACCGATTTTAGCCTCAAAAGTTCTTCTTTGAAACTTCACTGCACTCCTCTGGGCTGTCATTAATGCATATTCTATCCCCCTTCTTTATTATCTTCTCTGCCTCTGATTCTTTAGCATATCAGCATAAGGAATGTTTCTGTCCATCAACTTGTGTTTCCCAAAGGTTAACCACATTCCTGTGGCTGTTGATAAATCTCCCGACATTTTCTGCAATATTTATCCATCCTAAATTAAACGTCAATTCAGGGACGATAATAACTGACCTCCTTCGCCTCTCACATTTTGTTATAGTTCCTAGTAGAACACTTCTGAGAAGACTATCTTTTCTCTTCCACTGCTTCACCATATTCCCATTTGTCTGGGATGCTTCTTGGAAGACCTGAGTAATCCATCCCAGTCTCCACATTTAACGTTGTTCTTGTATAATTTCTGTTTCTTTCTGTTCAGTTTTACCATTCCCTCGCTGTTCCAGCTGTTCTCGTGATGTCGTAGGCCGTGGAGCCTACCACAAAATAAATGATGTTGTCCATCTTTGTTCTTTCAAAAGAAGAAAGAAAGAAAGGGGAGAAAAGTTCCGGCGATAAGAAGGATTACTGGAAAGGAAGATAAAGAGAGAGAGGACTGAGAATTTTCCTCGATAATTGTGCCGGGGAGAATAGTAATCAAACTATACTTCTTATAAATCATATTTTCAGAAGAAAAAACACTCATTGCCAAATAAACCAGTAGGTGTATACAGCAGACTTGTTAAGTTGCTGGATTAGGGGGGGGGAGCAAGACACAGAAGAAGTGGTGGAGGATAATCCCACACTTTATCTGGTGGACTATCTGGAGGGAGAGGAATGGAAGAATCTTTGAACATAGATTCAACAACATTCAGAAAATCAAAGGGAGCTGCATCGCAACTTTCTACTTTTGGTGTAAAGAACATTGTATAGAAATGCTGAACAATTAGTAGATCTTTTAGGATTACTAATTAGTCGCTTGTTTTAGCTTGTTACTACCTTTATGGAGGTCTCCAGCATACCTTAATGCTGAGGAATACAACATTACCAGTTTAAAAAAAAAACCCAGTAGGTGTATACATTGTCATAGTATGTGAACATGTTCTTGTATTATACAGTCTCCGGTGGCTCTCTGGAGCATTGGTGCTGCTTCTTAAGCTGGTGTAAAAATGCATGTCATAAGTATATGAACATATTCTTATAAGTTCTATTTACAAATAGACTTTGGTAGTTCTCTGGGAAGCATGTATTTCTTAAAACTGGTGGTCTCGTACTCCTGTTCTTACCTCTGGTAGCCAAGTTTATTAGTATTGCTTGCACCTGTTTAGGTTCTTTCAAGTCACGTCACCCTCTATTGTTTCACATTATCTGTCCGATTCTTGTGACCTTGTGACTATCTTTTGGCAGTGAAATTCTCTATGATTTTTTCAAGCCAGTAGCAACTGATATGGAGCGTTTAAAATCAATCAAGAAGCACAGAATTGGGAGGAAATCAAAGCAATTTGAAAGATATGAACAAAGAATGAAGGAGGAACGTCAAAAGAGATTTCGTGAGAGACAGAAGGAGTTTTTCAGTGAGATTGAAGTTCATAGGTATGCACTTACTTTCATCCTTAGGGTTAATCATATGACTTTGCTCCTTTAACAGTGAAAGATTAATGACTTCTTTTCTGATTTTCTTATTTTTGTTTCTTTGAATTATTCTGACCTCCAGGGAAAGATTGGAAGATGTATTTAAAATGAAGAGAGAACGCTGGAAAGGTTTCAATAAGTATGCGAAGGAGTTCCATAAAAGGAAGGAACGGATACATCGTGAGAAGATTGACAGGATCCAACGTGAGAAGATTAATTTGCTGAAAATCAATGATGTTGAGGGATACCTTCGAATGGTTCAGGTATGGCATGTCTAATTTCTCTGCCAGGACTGCACTTTGTTCCGCTTATCTTGATGATTACTTTCATACTGCTTCTAGGATGCAAAGTCGGATCGTGTTAACAAACTACTAAAAGAGACGGAAAAGTACCTCCAAAAGCTTGGATCCAAATTAAAGGAGGCCAAATCAATTGCAAGAAAATTCGAGACTGACGTGGGTGACAATAGAAACTCAGGTGTGGTTGAGGAGGATGAAATTGACTTTGGTGATGAGGATGAAACAGACCAGGCTAAGGTTCTTTCAGAAATTGTCTTATATGATTAAATGCACATATTGCTAACCGGCATGCTGCTGTTCTTTGCTCATCTGTGTCATTTCCTGATTTCTTGTACGTTTTATTTGGTATGCAGCATTACTTGGAAAGCAATGAAAAATACTATTTGATGGCACATAGGTAATTCCTGCATATAGTCTCTTACATGGTCTTGGAGAACTTGATGCTATAGATCCTTCAATCTTTTATTCTACATTTTTTTTGAAGCTTTGCATCCTTCCCACTCTTGGGTTTTATTAAATTGTTGTTTGATATGGCTGATTCAACTTTGTCATTTGTTCAGTGTCAATATTCAATCTCTCTGGCTGAGACACTAAATAATTAAATGTATTTTCTGCAGTGTAAAGGAAACCATCACAGAGCAACCTAGTTCTCTCAAAGGTGGAAAATTACGGGGGTAAGTTTTTCATTTCAGAATTAGTTGTCATTGCCTATCTATCTTTGTGAGTGCATTTTTTATTAATTAATTTTCTACTCAGGAGATATTTCATATTTCCTGCTCCTAGAGTACGTTTAATCTTGATTTTTCTCTCAGTTACCAAATGAATGGATTGCGATGGTTGGTTTCACTCTACAATAACCATTTGAATGGAATTTTAGCTGATGAAATGGGCCTCGGTAAAACTGTTCAGGTGCATTAATATGTAATTGCTTGATGGTGTTAGAAAGTTACTCTATTTTTCCTTTAGATTTAACTTTAATTTCAAAGTTATTTACTCGTGAATATTTGGAGGATCTCAAGAAGACAACTTTTGTAGGTTATATCCCTTATGTGTTACCTGATGGAAACCAAAAATGACAGAGGACCTTTTCTGGTGGTAGTGCCATCCTCTGTCCTACCTGGATGGGAGTCAGAGATAAACTTTTGGGCACCAGATATGCTCAAGATAGTTTATTCTGGACCACCGGAAGAGCGGAGGAAGCTTTTCAAGTACGCCATATCAATTATTTCATACTGTTGTGTAGAAATTCTGTTATTGTTTCTTTACTTCCATTGCATTCATGCTGTAATTATTGGGTAACTTGTCATTGCAGGGAAAGAATTGTTCATCAAAAGTTCAATGTTCTTTTGACGACATATGAGTATTTAATGAACAAACATGATAGACCAAAACTAAGTAAAGTACATTGGCACTATATCATAATTGATGAAGGGCATCGCATAAAAAATGCTTCTTGCAAGTTGAATGCTGATCTGAAGCACTACCGCAGTAATCATAGGTTACTGTTGACGGGCACTCCTCTTCAGGTTTATATTGGCTATGGGATGTTTAATTTCTTTCTTATTGTTACATGGCATATACACATGATATACTACTTATTGTTTTGTTTCTTCTGGTGCTGATGTGTCTGAATGTATTTATTATTCTGTTTATGTAGAACAATCTTGAGGAGCTCTGGGCACTACTTAACTTCCTTTTGCCAAATATCTTCAATTCATCAGAAGACTTCTCACAATGGTTTAACAAGCCATTTGAGAGCGGTGATAGCTCACCTGATGAAGTATGTTTCTTACAATTTCCACTCTGAAGTATGACTTCATTGTTGCTTGAGTTATTTCTAGTACTGATGATCTGATTAATCTGCTTTTCCTGCTGTTAGGCTTTGCTCTCAGAGGAGGAAAATCTTTTGATCATTAACCGTCTGCACCAAGTTTTGCGTCCATTTGTTCTTAGGAGATTGAAACACAAGGTATATATTTTCATTCGCAGTATGCACTTCCCTTATTCAATTTGTTGTCAAACCTCACGCTATATGTATCAAATTCTATCATTGAACGCCACTATATGTATCAAATTCTATCTTTTCATCCATCGTGGGATTCTCATTTTCACAATTTTCATCTCCGATAGTTCTTGGCTGGGCACCACATAACATAGACAAGTAACATGATTTCAAAAGTCAAATATGAAATTTCAATTCACAGCTAATATTTCTGGTTTCATCCTTGTTAGTTGCTAGTTCAAAGTTATTCAACAAGATAAAATTACACCACAACCAGGATGAAACGACTAATAGCATTCTCTTGGTGACACTAAAGTTAGAAACTTAAAATTTTCTGCATTTAGTCACTATCATTCAGTAGACTTTCTTTTAAATTTATTCCTACTGTAATGAATAATTTTTTTTCTTTGAAAAAGGGAAGATAATGTTATATAGAAACAAGCTCAAGAGATGTGCTGCAACAGCTGAACATTATTTACAGAAGCAAAAAATACCAAAGTTTTGCCCCCTTTGTAATGGCTAAACTTATAGTGCATATGTTCTGCTCTAATTTTACTTGTCTAAAATTCTTACTCCCCACGATTTTTTCCTTGGCTCAAGCTATTGATGGCTCTCTCTCTAATTCATTCATTTACACAATTCATCTCCAAATAACATGCTCTATGCAACCTCATTTTGCATACTATATAGTTAACTCATCCATAACTTGGTGAATATTACGGAATAAGGGCAGATCCTTTGTGAACCCACAGTCACGGGGAACCTGTACATCCTCCGACTATTTTTCACACTTGTGACGTTTTCTTATTTATTTATCTTGTATATTTGAAATGGATCATTTTCTTCCCCATATTCCATAACCATAACTGGTGATGAGTCTTATAGAACACATGGTGAAAATTTAGATATATTTGCTCAGAGTTTGTAACTTATGTCACTAAGAGGATGGATAGTCTGTTGGTTATTCCAGTCTTTCAGATTTTTGATAGTGCCAGGAAACAAACAATAACTTCATATAGTATATGCTGCCATATGCTATCTAACTTGTCTAGATTCGTCGTGTGATCAAAAGTTTCTTCCGAAGATTCTTTTAGCATTTAATTGTTTACAGTGTTGAGAGCTTATGCCTGTCTTTCCAAATGCTTATCTTAGGTTGAGAATGAATTGCCTTCAAAGATTGAAAGACTGGTTAGATGTGAAGCTTCTTCGTATCAGAAGCTTTTGATGAAGCGAGTGGAAGACAACCTTGGTGCATTCGGAACTTCAAAGGTTTAGCGCCTCTGCTGTTATTTGAGTTCAATGATTCATGCTTGAGAAATATCATTTAATTCTTTTAGAGAAAAATTAAGCATATCATCTATTGCAGCTCATATATGTACATAAAAAAGAATTGTGCTTGTATATTTTTCTGTGAGTGTCCAAAAGGATTTGGACCATTTATTCGGTACTTGTGTTTCTTTTATGTTATTAATTTCCTTAGTTATATGAGGTTCAATGTTCACTAGTAGTCCTGCAGTTAGAAACGAACATATATGCTTATTCAGAGTCATTGGTGCATATTATGAGACAGACTCTTTCCATTTATCATAAAAGAAAAGAAAGGGAAACTTCGGAGGGAACCAACTACTAGACGGTTCGCTGGGGCCCTCCACCAGAGTTTCCCTCCCCCAACCTCAAATCCAATCATTTCTAACTTTTCAAATGAGAGGTTTATGTATTGCTTGCATCCTTGGAAGGAAAAAAACATCCAAGTGTTGAAATATAAAGATACTTATTCAGGTATTGTGTTCTTAGCTCTTACCCTTCACACTCTTCCTTCTAGGCTCGGTCAGTCCACAATTCTGTTATGGAGCTGCGCAACATTTGCAATCATCCATATCTTAGCCAGCTTCATGTGGAGGAGGTTTGCTTCTCCCTCTTCTATTTGTTTATCTTTATAATTTTAATCTTGATGTGAAGAGAAGGTATAACTGGACGATTTCATGCATGTGCTGCGTCTTAAGAGAACATGTATTTTTGTACTCGTCTTTTATCTTCAGAATTGCTGAAGGTGGCAATTTGTCGCCTGTTGGTTGTCTAATTATTTTGTTTTTATATGTCAGGTTCATGAGCTAGTTCCTAAGCATTATCTGCCAACGTTTGTGAGGATTTGTGGGAAGCTTGAGATGTTGGACAGATTACTGCCTAAACTTAAGGCAACAGATCACCGGGTACAAAATAGCCTGTTTGCATTTCAAAATTATTTTTTGAAGAAAATCTTCATTATTTCTAGATCACTCTTTGAGGTTGTGCATATTCATGTACTGTTAAGCCTTCTTAATATCTGGTTTTATTTGGCCTAATAATCCTTTCATTCTCCTTGTTCTGTAGCGGTTGATCTTGTTTTTGCCATTTATAAAGTATTTACCTGGCACCTTGACTTCAATTGTCATTTGAAAGGATTCTGATGCTTGCTATTTTGTTGATCAAAATCCTTTTGAGAAATGAGACGTCAAAGATAATAAGACACGACTTTTTGGGTCATTTTGCAGGTCTTGCTCTTCTCAACAATGACCAGGCTGCTTGATGTAATGGAAGATTATCTCTGCTGGAAGCAATATAAGTACCTTCGCTTGGATGGACATACTTGTGGGGGTGACAGAGGTGCCCTTATTGATAAATTCAATCAGCCTAATTCTCCCTTCTTTATATTTCTATTGAGGTAAATGACTAACTTTGAATTGCCTTAGATTCAAAGTTTGTTGGGTTTTGTAGTCTTCTCAATAATCATTCATTTTGTCCTTACCATGATCACAAAGAAGGTTTGCAAAACTGAAAATTTGCCGAAAATTTAATTTTAATTTTCTGTGAGTTTGATACCAAAAGAAAAAGAAACTTCATTAACCACCAAAATAAACTAATAAAGTTTACTCCACTGCTGTTGATTCCAACATTTGCAGACAATAGGTTAAAGTCCTATTATATCACACTGAAGATTAACTCAGTATTCAAAATGTATAGTTTCTAGTGCCGAACTCCATTTCTAAATCTAACTGAATATTACTATGTTGTCCCTTTACTTGCAATTTAGTTTGATTACAATGGGGCTTGACAAGTTAACTTGATTTGCATATTGTTTCGGTAGAATCAAAGAAAATATTATAGCGAATGAGAAGTTAGTGCGGTGAAGTTTGCATCACATTATATTCCAAGTATTAATTATTTATGGATCTGATAGATGCGAAAGAATGATATCATGGAAATATGTGAAAAAAGATTGACTTTGATGGAAATCATAATACTTGTCTCGGGGTCGTAGATTGTTCCTGATCAACTGTGTATTAGATGCCTAACCTACTTATTTGATGTGAAAAAAGATTGACTTTGATGGAAATCGTAACACTTGTCTCGGGGTCGTAGATTGTTCCTGATCAACTGTGTATTAGATGCCTAACCTACTTATTTATGGATCTGATAGATGCGAAAGAATGATATCATGGAAATATGTGAAAAAAGATGACTTTGATGGAAATCATAATACTTGTCTCGGGGTCGTAGATTGTTCCTGATCAACTGTGTATTAGATGCCTAACCTACTTATTTGATGTCATTATTTACTCTTCCCGCTAATGTAGAGGGAAGAGTCTATGCTGTTAAGAGGAATTTTCTGAAGCAAGTAAAGGAGGAAAAAGGCTATCATTTAGTCTAATGGAATACCTTAATTCTGGCTAGGAATGATGGAGGGCTGGGAATCAGAAATCTAAGGAAGTAGAACAGAAGTTTCCTGATGAAAAATGGCTTAGGAGACTACCTAAGAAAGAGCACTCTTTATGGGGCAATCTGATACAAGTTACGTATGAAAAGGAAGGTTTTTGGAGGACAAAAGAAGTAAACACTACATATGTAACAAGTTTGTGGAGATCAATCAGGAACCTGTGACATGTATTCTTTGCAAGAACAAGTTTTAATGTGAAAGATGGTTAGAGGATCTTGTTCTGGGCAGATAACTTGACAGGGAGTGGAAGTCTTAACCAACTGTTCCCTGACATTTATATTTTAAATCAGCAACAGCATTCCACTTTATAGTAAGTGTGGCCAAAATTCTAAGTTGCTCGGACTTGGGTACGGGTGTTCGATACGTGTGTAGATCCTTTATGATCTAATTTTTAAGATTCGGGGATCTGGATCCATGTATGGATACAGGTGCGGGGATTCACCTTATAATAATTATAATATCTAAAAAATAGAGTTATAAAACCTAAACTATGAATATTATGTGGAGAACTCGAGGAGAATCCTGGAAAGAGATCAAGGAAAAGGAGTGACATAGTAATTTCTATATAAGAGGTATCTAATTTTCATCAATTTCACCTTAACTTTAGTATTGATTATAGTAACCATTAAAATTGTCTAGAATTTCTCCATCGATTTTGGTTAAAGTACCCAAAATCTGTTGACCAAATCGGACACGAAACCCACACCCACACCCACGTTGTGTCGACATGGTGCGGCACCAAAAGTGAAGAGTCTGAGCCAAGGTTGGAACTTGACCTATAGAAAATTGATGCAAGACTGGGTGATGGAAAGATTGTCCAACTTTTATGGCACTCTGGACCATTGCAAGGGGCTACAGGAAGGAGAAGACACTCTCAAGGACTAAGGTGCATTTTTACTGTAAGATGTATCTATAAGGGCATGCATAAGATGGGTCTCGGATCAGATTTTTACCTTGGAAGTTTATCTGGAAAGTAAAATTCCACACACACTATTTTCACTTGGTTGGTCTTGGAAGAGGCTGTCTACAGAAGAAGAGGGAAAGCATATGTTCTCCAGATGTTATTATTGTGAGCATAATGCAGAGACAAGTAACCATTTGTTTCCTGATTGTAAAGTGGTTAGCCAGCTTTGGAATCTATTTACCATCTTCAGAGGCATAAAGGTAGACTATGCCGGGATGAACAGGAGAGGCACTAACTAGCTGGAATTTTGAGGGCGGTGGTAGCACTAACCTAAACAGATGGAGAATTGTCCCAGCATTATGATTGGACCATTTGGAAAGAGAGAAACTCCAGGTGTTTTGAAGGCAATATTAGCTCTCTGCCAAACTTAAAAATGAATTTGCATTATGAGTTTTTGTTCTTGGTTTGGTGCAGCTCAGAGTAAATAGATGACCCAGTTTTTATAGTGGACATCTATGATCCTTGTAAGATGAGATAACATTTAGTGTTAGTTATTGTTTTTACTCTTTTAGATGTAGATTCAATAATGTAATTTTGGCTTCCAACACTTCGCATTGATGATTTATTTACGGTCTGTTACCTTGTCAAAAAAAGTATAGAGTACAGTGTCATAGATGATGTTCCAAGCTGGAATATTGCGTATACTGGGATAATGAGAGTAGGGTTTAATCTTTTCTTTGAAAGAAAGAACGAGTGGGTTGTTTGTAGGACATGTTTTGACACTCTTGTTCATTTTTCTCTGCATTCGTCATACATGTAAACATTTTCTCTTAAGAGTTAAGACTGATCCATTCTAAAATGGTGCCAGTATTCGTGCTGGAGGTGTTGGAGTAAATCTTCAAGCTGCTGATACAGTTATAATTTTTGACACAGATTGGAATCCTCAGGCAAAAGCTCAAACTTGCTCTTTTGAGGATCTTTTATATTTTGATTATGTGGCTTTCACTTATTGCTCTCTTGGTTTGCTGCATTTAGGTTGATCTTCAAGCACAAGCAAGGGCTCATAGGATAGGTCAAAAGAAGGATGTTCTTGTTCTTCGATTAGAAACGGTAAATACCTTTTGACTTCTTGTCTGTTCATGCATTTGCAGTTTCATGCTTTCATTTGTGCACACTGCTGGTTGTTCATGTGGTAAAATTATTATTAAATATGCTTTGTTATGACTGTGGCCTCCTGTTATGTGGATCAGATTGGTCATTCTGATTTATTTACTGTAATTAGCGTTGTTAGCTCACTATTTCTCAAGATGTATCTTTAGCTTGCTGTTCCTGTCATTTCTAGATACTAACACATGCATGTCCAGTGTCCCATGAAGTCTTCATTCTCCAGTCTAGACTCTAGTAACTGAAACAAAGCTCCCTCTTGTGCCTAGCGGGATTTTGTAGTCAATCTAGTGATTATTATGGTTCAAGGACAGATGTAGAAACTTGGCATAATTTTAGTAAAATACCTTTTGTTTTTTTGTTTCTTGCATGTTTGTAGATGAGACTAGTCTTCTTTTAGTTCTGTTAATCCGTTACTTTATTATACTGTAGTACTCCTTTTCATTTCTACTCTGGGTTAAGAGGAAACTGTCCCTTTTTTTCTGGGGGACACTGTACCTGCCTGTATATGGTGGTGTACCTGGAAAGAGAAATATATGTTACAAGGAAGTTCAGTTTAGAAGTTGAGTCTGTTTGAATCATGGATGTTGTCTTTTTTTATGTAAATTGGAGTTGGTTAGTGATGCTGAGTCTCTTTTGCAGCTTTTATAAGCTTTTGTATAGACGTTCAGGGCTTCCCTTTTCTTTTTGCCTTTCTTCCTTTTTGGATGTAATGATAGCACTCTCTTAGTGCTGGTTCTTTTACATATAACACTTACTTGTCATTCTTTCTAGATGTAATGGCAGCACTCTCTTAGTGCTGGTTCTTTTACATATAACACTTGCCGAGAGTTTCTCAATGATGCTTCATGTTGTATAAATTGTTGGTACAATTTATAATACTAATAATCTAAAAAATTGTTGCAACAATTTATGTATCAAATACTATCGCTGAATTCCTGAAAGATCAGAGCTGATGCTTTTTTTTGGTTTCTTCAGAACTATATGTTCTGATCTTGGACATTGAATGATCATCGAGAGTTTCTTTATAAAGCTTTTGACGCATTAATTGATGCCACATTTATGTATCAAATACTGTCGTTAGTTTCTTGATCCAAATATTCATTGCAATTTGCACCTATGGTATGTCTAATTTGTGCATTTCTACTACCTTGTTAAAATTAGGTCCAAACTGTTGAGGAACAAGTTAGAGCTGCTGCTGAGCATAAACTGGGAGTTGCTAACCAAAGCATTACTGCTGGGTTCTTTGATAATAACACAAGGTTTTTTGAAGGAAGATTTGGAAATTCTGCTCAACCTTTGTCCACTTTGGTGAATGTATTGTGCTTATAAACGTATTTTAACTTGGATGTAGTGCGGAAGACCGAAGGGAGTACTTGGAGTCCCTCTTGCGAGAAAGTAAAAAAGAGGAAGCTGCACCTGTTCTTGATGACGATTCCTTGAATGATCTTATAGCACGAAGGTAAAATAGAAGCGGCAAAGGTGCTCTTATTCTGCTGTAAATTCATTAATATCTTAAAATTATTTCCAATGACTTGTGCAATATGACATTTCCTACATCAGAATAACAAAGCACGCTGTGTGATGGTTTTATCTAGTTCACTTCAGGCATATGTTCCTCGGACTCTTCAAGCGCTGACTGATGCATGTTGGATCCTTTCAAAGTAGCACATTTTCAGAGGATCCAACGCGGGTCCGGCAACATTTTTGGAGAGTCTGAGCAACATAGCTTGAGGCAGCACGGTACTGAAACTGCATGTAAAAGCCACATCACTTCCCGTACCAATATTTAGTTAATCAGAATTAACAGCATTTGAAGCTCAGTGCTGACTAGCTTTGCACCCCCCCGCCCCCCCTCCCTCTCGCCTCCCCTCTATTTTTTCTTTTTCTTTTGTTGTTGAGGGCCGGAGGTTACTTGCTAGTCATCAATTCATTTTTATTCTATAGCACCGATGCTTTGTTTCTGATTTAGCATGAATTTACAAGAACTATTGGGTGATTCACCATCAAGTGCAGAACTCTCATCTCTACTCCCTACGTGCAGTGAGCCAGAGATTGATATATTTGAGTCAGTTGACAGGAGAAGGCGTGAAGAAGAGATGGTAATCACGTCAATACTTTATCCCAGGCTATTTAATTCTCTCATTTTCTGAACAGAGTCCTGCTAATAATTCAAGCATAAAAATGCAGGAAATCTGGAAGAAGTTATGCTTAGAAAGTGGAACACAAAGTTCAGAACTCATTCCTCCTTTGCCCTCTCGACTTCTTACTGATGATGACTTGAAACCATTCTATGAAGCAATGAAAATATCTGATAAGCCAGTTGTGGCTCCTAGCCCTGGGTTAAAAAGGAAGGGTCAGAGTCTTGGGGGTCTTGATATCCAACACTATGGACGTGGGAAAAGAGCAAGAGAGGTTGATTATACTTTTGGAGACAGCAGAACTTGCAGCCATTTTTTTTTCACTTCTTACAATAAAATAATTTGTTATTCACTGGTTTGTTCATTTTAATTCTTGTGCTTCCTTAGGTTCGTTCATATGAAGAGCAATGGACTGAAGAGGAATTTGAGAAAATGTGCCTTGCTGAGTCTCCTCAATCACCTAGTCTAAAGGAAGAAATTCAAGAAAAGAATTCCCCTTCAGTCTCTGGCAACTGTCCTGACCCTGTTGTTGCCAATAGTGAATTACAAACCCGAGCACAGTATCAGCCTCCTCTCCAGCACCCTGTGCAAGAACTTCCCCAACAACATATAGGACCCATAATTCAACAAAGCCCCGTGACTGTGACTCCGCCATCTAAACGGGGCCGGGGAAGACCAAGGAGGACAGCAATAGTTGCTGAAATTTCACCGTCCCCGGTCGTTATTTCAGCAATTGCAGCTAGTGTAAAGGTGGATAGCAATACCATTGCAGAAAATACTTCTACCAGTCAGGCAATTTCTGGGCCTGTTTCAGTGTCTTTTCCTTGTGCTTCTTCCATAGAAAGTACCAGCGCAACCATCCTACAGAATGTAACTGTTGTTGCGCCCAGCCATCAGTCAATTGCACCTTCTCTTGCTGTTGTTTCTCAGTCTGGTCCTCCTTGCCCTCCTACAAGTGGACAGGGAAGGGGCCGAGGTAGAGGCCGAGGTCGAGGTCGAGGTCGAAAGCCTCAAACTGGAGGAGAAGCTCCAGGGCGTAGAGGAAAACAACAGAATGTTACAGCGGAGGCTTTCCCCGCCCCTCCAACTCAAGCAGTAAGTGAGCCCGTCTCTGCAGCGCAAGGTGTGAGTGTTATGAGTTCTACTCACCATATGCCCGCAACACCTCCTGCAGTGGGTGAGCCTGATGTGCCCCAGGTGGTGGCAGGTTTGGGTTCAAAAAACCTTGGTCATGCTCCTGTTTCCATGAGAGATGCTAGTAAGGAACTGAATTCGGTTGTGCCTCTTGCAACATCTTCCTCTAGCAAAGACTTAACCCCTGTTTCGACTGTTTCTGTTGTTCCATCGTCTGCTGCCAGTCAGGACCCTAGTTCAATTTCACCTCCAGGTGTCCTTCAATCATCCTCGAGAAACCATTCAGACCATCTTTCCCTCTCTGCTGCCCAGACCGAAGCTACTCTGCAGGTGAATCCAATTTCAGTAGTTCCTCATAGTTCACCTTCAGCTGGCAAGGAAACGAGTTCCGTGTCACCTGTTCCTCTTCATTCATTAACTTCAAAGGACTCCGATTCAGTTTTACCTTCTCTTGTTCCCGAATCATCATCTGCTCGCGTGGAACTAAGTTCAGATTTCCCTCTTCCTGCTGTTGCACCCTCTTCCAGCATAGGTACAAGTACATCTGCACTTACACCTCTTCTTTTAGCATCTAATGCAGCAGGCAAATTTGATTATGGATCAGATAAGATGACAGTGTCTTGCTCTTCTTCTATTTCAGGTCATGATTCTTTATGTGATTCTTCTAATTTGAAGAGCACTTGTCAACAAGAATCTGGTGCGGTAACTGCTCATACTTCTGATCCAGTTCCACCATTGCCTGTGATTTCGTCAGTTTCACAGTATAGTACTCCTCCCACTGCACTTAAGCCAGGTAGAGGACGGGGACGCAAGGCTCAAACTGGAAGTGAGGCTCCACGGCGCAGGGGGAAGAGACAGGATTTGGACACTGCAGCTGTTACTGAAGGGTTAAGTGTTCAGGATCCAAAATTAATTGAACCCCCACAAAAGAGAACCAGGTTATCCGTAGGGAGGAAGCCCACTACAAGAAGCAAGCGTGAGAATGAATCTCAACAAGTAGTAGACCAATCGGTTGCATCTCAAAAGACTCCAGATTTTGCTGATGGAGAAATCCCTAAGAATATGGTTTCTAGTGAAGTTAATCCACATAACAGTGCAATCAACAGAGATGAATCTCAATCCCATGCTATTCCGGTTCCTAGTCAAATGAATGATAATCTAAATGGCGACGTTGCTACTGCTGAAGAGGATCTCGATGATGCTCAGCAAAAGGAGAATGTGGTCCAATCTGTTACATCTCAAAGTTGCTCTAGTCCTCATGTTGAGCCACAGATTAACACGGTCAACACTGATAATTCTCCTTCCCAGGTTGGTATATCTGCTGGTAGGTTGATACTTCTAATATAAACTATTAAACTGCTAAGACTAACGAGGTTATCCTGGAAGTGCAGGAACAAACAGCTATTGTCCAGTCAGATGCTTCACAAAAGATTCCATATCCTGGCACAGGACAAATCCCTCAAGCGATGGCGTGTTCTGAAGTTGAGCTACATCGCAATGCTATCAAATCCGACATATCACAATCCAGTGGTGATGTTGCTAGTTGTGAAGTTGCCGCAACAAAGGAAGTTCTTAGTGAGGATCAACAAACAATGAAGGTTCAGTCAGCTGCATCTCAAACGCCTTCAGTTCACTCTGTTGGGAAAATTCCTGAAGATATTGGTGAGGTTGCCACGACAAAGGAAGTTCTCACTGAGGATCAACAAACAATGGAAGTTCAGTCACCAGCATCTCAGACACGTTCAGTTCACTCTGTTGGGAAGATGCCTGAAGATATAGTGAGTAATGAAGTTCTGCCACAGTGTGATGCTATACAAACAGATGCATCTCAATCCCATGTCACTCTTGCCTCTTCAGGATCAATGGCTCCGGTTATTGATTGCCCGGTTGAAAAAAGTGAAAGTGATTCTAAGGGTGACGATGGTGAAAAGACTGAGACTAATTCTATAGATGGGTCAAACATGGAAGTCCCCGTTGGAGCTTTGGAGCTTACATCATCTGATGATCTGAACAAGAGTGGAGATGCAGAAGGGAAAACTAGCAGCAGTTTAAGTGGGGTCCTTCCCACAAGTTCTGAGTTAGTTCCCCGTCCAAGCGCAAATACAGAGGTATATCTGGGTTCCGTAGGCTCCGGGAAAGTAAGTTTTAATTCAGGTTCAACTCAAAGCCTGTCTGAATGTGTGTCCGCAAAAACTGATGTTGAACAGTTAAAGACTGAGGATTGTCCTCTGGATAAATCATTTGTTTCTAAAGCTGAGGGAGGCAGCACTGAGCATCTCGCTGGTGGCATACTTGGAAAAGAACAGGAAACCGGAGTCACCATGGAGGAGACTGTTGTTTCACCTGCTGTGGAGACTGACAATCTGAACATGAAGGGAATTACATCATTTGCTTCTTCATCTACTGTGGCAGAATCTTTAGTGGATGAACCTCCAGTATGTGGATCTTATGAACAAGGTGAGGACAAACTTGAAAAAGCAGCAGAAGGAACACATTCCGATAAAGGTGCAATGGCCGAGGTTTCTGAACAAGATAAGTTATCAGTTAACGTGTCATTGGAGACTACTAAAGGCTTAAGTAGGGTGGAGAAAGAAAAGTATAGAATTCCAGAAACTTTTGAGAAGCAAGTTAATGTTGCTGAATCCCTAACAGAAGAATGTGGAAAAGATCTTGCAGCACATGGTCCAGAAATGAAAGATTCTGATGTAAGTGAGGTTGCGCCAAGCCCTAGAAATGAGTCCCAATCCAGTTTCACTGTTGGAACATCTCAAAGAACTTTTGAGGAGCAAGTTAATGTTGATGAATCCCTAACAGGAGAATGTGGAGGTGATCTTGCAGCAGACAGTCCCGAAATAAAAGATTCTGATGTAAGTGAGGTTGCGCCAAGCCCTAGAAACGAGTCCCAATCCAGTTTCACTGTTGGAACATCTCAAAGTGAACCTGAACTACAAGCAATTGCTGAAGCAAACTTGCATCCCAGCATTTCTGGTAAGAACTTTTGTTTATCTAGTTTAGATAATGAATCTGATAAAGAGTTTGAAAACTAAAAGCAAATCTCTTCTGTCACACCTGAGGTTTGTGAATCTGACATGACACATGTTAATTTTGTAGAGACTTCTCCCAGCACAGAATCTGGTGCCCAGAAGGAATCCCTTTCACCTAGGCTTGCTTCAAATGCTGAAACTGTTGAGGCTCTAACAGAAACGTTTGCCAGCCGTCATGACACGAATTACGTAGCTGATTTACAGGGTAACTTGAGTTTTGATGTAAAGGATGATATTTCTAATTCTGAAATTGATGTATCTCAACTCTGTCCAGCTGATGGATCATCTGAGAATCACCCAGAATTAGAACAGGTTGTGGTGGAAGATGTGAGAACTGACATTTGTGAGGAGTCTGCCTCAGATGTAGTTGATGATATTGTACTGCGACAAACAGAGAATGCTGACGGTCAGTGTCACGATGGTTTGTCTGTTGAGACTCATGAGAGCAAAAGAGCTGAAGATAAGGTTGACGTTTTAAATGGTGAATTAAATAAACATCTATCCAGCACAATTGCTGGAACATCCAAAAAGGTGGCAGATCTGGAGTTAGTTGCCGAAGCGAACACAGGGAAGATAAATGATGGCTCAGTAGATACAGGTCAGGTGGCAGATAAGTCCGAGGATATGGCAGTCCGAGATCTTACTGTGGAAGGACAAGAGAGTAAGGAAACTGATGCCGCAGGAGATACTTCAACATCAAAAAATGAGGTGGAATCACAATCTGCTGTTGTAGAAAATATAGGAAGCAAGTCAGTAGCATCAGGGGAGGTAACAGCTGCTGAACTTCTGATAGAAGGGTCTGAGCATTTGCATGTCCATGCCGCAGGAGATACTTCAACATCAAAAAATGAGGTGGAATCACAATCTGCTGTTGTAGAAAATATAGGAAGCAAGTCAGTAGCATCAGGGGAGGTAACAGCTGCTGAACTTCTGATAGAAGGTTCTGAGCATTTGCATGTCCTAGACCATGCAATTGAAGTACAAGGTAACAAAGCATTTGATGCCACTAGAGATGCTTCAGAATCAAATTCTGAGCTAAATGAAACTCAACCTGGCGGAACATATCAAATTGTGTCAGAGTTACAGTTTGTTGCGGAGCAAGACTCTGAGACAATGAACAAGAAGAATACTTTGCCTGATGCTACAGCTGTTGAGCCCCAACCAGCTGTCTCTGAGAATTTGAGTATTCGAAATCCTGCACATCAAGGACCAAAGAACCAAACATCTGATTCAACTGAAGATTTTTCAACTTCAAATAATGAACTTAATGAATCTCAACCGAAAGCTGCAGATGGAACTTCTGAAATAGCAGTGGAGTCTCATTTGGTTTCCAAACAAAACATAGAAATTCATGTGGAGGTTGCTACAGGGGATGTTATAGCTGATAATGCTGCTGTAGTGAAGTCTGAAAATTTTCCATCGATAGATGTTGCTGTTGAAGAAAAAGGGAAGAAAGAATCTGATGTAACATGTGACATTTCTGATTCTGAACTCAAAGAACCTAAAACCAGTCAAACCACAACTGAAGTGAACACAAGTACGATATGTGAGGAGTCAGGAATGACCGACAAGGATGTTACAGCCGAGAAAGCTGCAGTAGGTAAGTCTGAAAATTTTCCATCGATAGATGTGGCTGTTGAAGAAAAAGGGAAGAAAGAATCTGATGTATCAGATGAAATTTCTGATTCTGAACTCAAAGAACCTAAAACCAGACAATCCGCAATTGAAGTGAAAACACCCATAGTATGTGAGGAGTTGGGAATGACTGACAAGGAGGTAGCTCCACTTGAAGTTGAAACTCCATTCAGAGATTTGTCTGGTTCTTCTGGCAGAGACTTGGCAGTTGAAGAACAAGAAAAAGAGAAGTCTGCTGCAAGTAAAAATGTTTCTAGCCCCGAGAATGAAGAGCATAAATGTATTCCAGGTGCAAGAGCTGCTGATAATGGGGCAGAATCACAATTGGTTGCTGAGAGGGACTCTGAGACAGTTCTGAACAAGGAAGTATTTTCAGGTATAGGGTGTTCATATCTGAAGTTTTTAACTGTATCACCAAATTCTGGTAATAACCTTCAATGTTTCCAATCCAAATTAATAAATTTTCTTCCTGCTTCAGGCAAAGAAGAGATCTCCAGTATCAAGCTAGCTGGTGATGAAGATGTGCCAACTGCTATAGAGTATGGTGATCAAGAACTGTCATCTGCTACAGGGGCTGGTGATGATTAAACTATGACCACTGCAATTACTGATGCTTGATCTGGTGTTTCTCCTGTATTTCAGGTAATGTGCTGTTCTTGCTTTTTATAATGATGTTTTGGAAATTGGATACTTCGACCATGTGTCCCGGTTTTTTGTTTGTTACGTATATTGTTATTCAATTTGGAGTAGATAAATATTCCTTTTATTGCTGTTATTAATTACTAGCTGCTTGGATTACTTATTATGTATGAATATGGTTTATTAAGTGCTGAATCATATAGGTATCTTATTACCCATTTACTAGAAGGTTCTTACTTTAGTATCCATTCTCATATGTTGCAATTCCTCACTGTAACTTTCTTTTCTCTATGGTATATTATTGTATGGAAATAGTTGATAGGCTGAATTACCTCTATGCAGAATCATGCCATCTGTTTGCCAATTATGATTCCTTTCTTGGCTGATTTGCCTTTGCTGTGTAGGATTTTGATATTGCATCATTGGTTCTACTTTGCTCATCTTTTCTTAATACTTGGGCTGTTTATAATCTTTGCATCTTCCGTGGAAATAATCATGGCAAGTGATTTTTCACCAAGTTCAGTAACATCAACAAATAGTGCTTTGAAATGTTTCTTGACATTGTTGGGATCTTACTCTGAGCTCTTTAGGCTTCCTACTGCTAATCTTCTCTTTTTAAATATTATCTTTCGCTCTCAGAAAAGTTTTACCTACTTCTTTATGATATAGTAAACTTCAAGCCCCAGACTTTACCTCGGAGTTTAGCAGTTACCCATTTCACTTTGCTCCATTTTCCAACTCGGATTGTTCTTAGCACTAAGCTACCACGCCCATGTCCCTTACATTGTTATTCCATTTGAACACCAGCTGAGGTCTCTGTTATTTTTCTTTTATTTGAAATTTATTATTTTCTTCTTTTTTTGTGTGTGCACGCAGGCAGGCAGTACGTGGAATCATGCATCTTATTTAAAATTCACTTGTAAAGAGGTTGCATTTTGACAATCTTGGGAAGGGTAGGGACTTGTATAAATAGCAATAGTTCCTCAAGGATCTCAAGTATTTCATTCGGCTCTCGCAACCTAAGTTGTGCATTAATCTTTGTTGTCAACAAGGATCTACTTAGCTTCTTTTGACTGTATCAGATGATGGATGAGCTGGATTTTAGCTTGTATTTAGCAATATAGAAATCTGCATCTTCCAAGCAGATGGTTCAGGCAAAACAGAGATTTATATAGCAAGGAAACTGGTTGGGACACCAAATTTGCTGTAAATCGTAATGTTTACCTTCTCTCTCTCTCTCTCTCTCTATCTCAAACAGATTATGGTAAAGTTTGATAGTTTGCAAGTCTTAAAGCAATAAACCTAAGAGCTCACAGTTTAAAAAGTTTGTTGTTGGAAAGATTGACATGCATTATAGTAGGCTTAAAGTACACTTGAACCACTCTTGGTCGTCCATTTACCAGGGTATGTTGCTGCATAATAGTTTTCATCTTCTCAAAGCTATAACTCTGTTTATATAACTTGAGAAGGTTTAACTAATCAAAAGTGCTGATGAATCAGTATAACACATGGACAAGGTCACCTCAGTAAACAGGCCAACAGAACTGATCAAATAAACAGACTAAGTCTATTTGCAAGAGTTTGTAGCCTAAAGGGTACAATATATTAACAAAAATTTCAAAACGGTATATAAAATTTTATATTAATCAAAGGCAAAGTCGCTGGAACAACAAAAGATGTGAATTTTTTTTTAAAAAAAATTAAAATCGCTACTTAGGCAGCGATTTTCATATTTTAAAAAAAAATAATTTTTTTTATAAAATCGCTGCCTTGACAGCGATTTAAAATTTAAAAAAGAAATACTTTTTTTAGAAAATTGTTGCCTAGGCAACGAATTTTTTCTTTTCTAAATCGCTGCCTAGGCGGCGATTTTATTAAAAAAAAATTAATTGTGGAAATTGCTGATTTTTAGAAAAAAAATAAAAAAAAATAAATCGCTGCCTAGGAAGCGATTTTATAAAAAAAAATATTGTTTTTTTATAATATGGAAATCGCTGCCTAGGCAGCGATTTTATAA